TATGTGTTGATTTGAGAGATTGACAGACTGGCTTAAGGAAGACAAGAAGAAGAAAACTTGGAAAATAAGACAACTATCTCTACATTTTTAGAAGCATCAGCTTTTCTCAGTTAAGATATCATTTATTTACATAAAATAGATGCAACAAAGTAAGAGAGAAAATGTGTAGGCTTTATTTTGCATCAGTGAAAGTGGACTGCAGCCACTATCTCAGAGAAGCAATGCTTTATTTCATCATCCTGTAAAATAGGTTGGAAAATTTTTAATTAGTGAAATGGGATTTCGGGGAAGTTGGTGTTTATGTTCATTCCTATCTCAAAAAGCAGAAATCACACATTGGTGAAATCATGTGTTTTCTTTCTTACAGTTGGTTCTCAGCCAATACTGTGGAACAGATTATTGAAATTTTACAGCAGGATGGCTCATCTTTTGCCCTGGAACAATTGAAGGTAAAATATGGATCATTTCTGCCCTGAGCATGGTGAATTCTTGTGACAGGGAAGCCTCTCTTAAGGGTGTTAGAGCTCTGTGGTGGTGACATAGCCCACAGTTTTTTGTTTGTTTTTCTGAACTCAGTTGAGCTTCAGAAAGCAGTTCCACAGAACTTTGATCTAGACTCAAGTGCCATGTCTGCCTGCTTGATGCTGAAGGAAATGCTAAGCTGTTTTAGGTCCTTTGACTGTAACACAGAAGGCCCTCAGTAAGCATGTTTCATCCCCAGTCATCCTCCTTGTCCTGTGGGAGAAGTGTTTAGGGACATTTTTATTAAGAGTTGGGTCACTGGAGAATAGTCACATTGTAATATATTGCAATTGTAACATTAATCTGTAAGTTCTCTTTAATATGCATCAGATCAGTACATGTTCTTTCTAAGCAGTAGATTGAATAAAAAAAGTGATCCTTTTTAAACTAACAAGAGGCTCCATCTAGAGCCATAGCTGAGCCTTAAGCCATGTTTCTCAGTGTGAGGTGCACTTTGATCTTTCTACAACATGACTCAACTGGTAAAGGCAGAAGAAGAGTAATTTTTGTAGAAATGAGTGAACATTGAGTACTGATACTCTTAGAACTGTCATAAGATTATAAAACTGAGTTTTCAGACTTCTAGACAAAGGAAAGAAAAAAAAAATGTTTTCCTTATACTTAAAAGATTTTACCTTGTCTTTTTCTGTATGGGTATAATTATAGCATTTCANTTCATTGGCTTCTGTAGAAATGAGACATGAAAATTTTGAAAAATAGCCAAATTCAGTTAGCACACTTTATAACAAGTCTTTTATGATACTGATTGCATTGCGTAATGCTTAGTGTCATACATTTTAATATAGATTCAAACTCCAGAGAGAAATGACAACCTGATCTAAAGAAAATTATAGTCATCTCTTTGATGTGAATCATTCTTATCTCTTTTTGTTATTGAATTACAGGACTGTTCCCTGATGTGGGTGGAGGTTATTTCTTGCCAAGACTTGAAGGAAAACTTGGTTACTTCCTTGCATTAACAGGATTCAGGCTGAAAGGGAGAGATGTGTACAAAGCAGGAATTGCTACACACTTTGTAGATTCTGAAAAGGTAATTACTTGGATGATTTCATTTTGTATTGTTGGGATAACTCGTGGGACACGGGAGGCAGTATGAGTGGTTAAGATCACAGGCTTTTGGTAGCTGTGGGTCTGAATCCTGGATCTACTGCTTCAAGCTCTGTGGCCTTAGGGAAAGTTCTTACGTTCTCCAATTTTCACTTTCCTCATAAACAAAAGGAAGATAATTATATCAATTCAAGGTTGTTTTGCCTGGCACCCTCAGTGAATATTTTTTAATGAATAATTACATTCTGTTAAAAAAAAAAAAACTACTTTAAGAAAGTCCAATATATAAAATTCTAAAGTTATATATAAAAAGATAGGCTTTTATTTTATAAAAACATTTTTGAAAGGTTCTCTTGGTTTTTAGTTTCCCTGGTGCATTTAAAAGTTAACATTTGTATGGAGTGACCGGTTAGCTCAGTTGGTTAGTGCGTCGTGCTGATAACATCCAGGTTGCCGGTTTGATCCCTGCATGGGCCACTGTGAGCTGTGCTCTCCTTAAAAAAGTCAACTGTGCCATTGTAGCATGACAGCAATGTAACCAGTGACTATGCCTGTTCCCCAATAAAAATAAATAAATAAATAAAACTTACATTTTTAAAATATGGTCTTAAAAACGTTCCTAAAGGATATCTGTTGCAAGTGACAGTGTTACTTTGCCTTTTTTAAAATCAGTGTTGCCAGTGTTTTAGCACAGAATAGGATAGTGGCAGAGAACATGCAGACAGCCAGCCTGGGTTTAAATCCTAGCTGGCATTGAGCCACTTTGGCCCCCAATTTTTTCATCTCCAAAATGGGGATAGCAGTTTTACCATAGTAGTTGAAACTACTTGTGTTAAATACAACGGAATACCCATTAAGGTGATTCTGCCTCAGAATTCCCAGCAAGAGATTTGGGCTTTATTCTGCTTCAGCTGGCTTAGCTCACTCTGATTGGACTGGTTTACAGCACCCCTGAACCACATGGGTGGGTGGGTGTATGACCCACTAGCTTAGTCTAGCTAATGCATTTCGTCCCTGGAACTGTGGAGTTGTCAGCTTCCCAGGAAACACGTGGGTCTCCAAATGAGTATCTGATCTTGAGGAAGGGTTGTTTTGGGATAGGGTAAGGAATGTTATAAAAAATGTATGAAGTAGATGCAGTTGAAGGTTGTCCCCTGTATACTGTTTGAGGGCTTTCCATCACATCGCTTGAAGTTTCAGCTCTTTCTCCATGTTATGGCATACTCAGTCGCATAGGTGGCTGTCTCGTCCTTCCCTTGAGCTTTCACTGGAAACAAACATGGGCACTCCATTATATACTCTGGCTGGGGGACACTCTTGATTATAGTGGAATTTAGTTGAGGATGCTTGGAGAGGAGCTGCTCACAGCCTTCTCCCTTGTTTGCTAGCTTGCCCAGCCGTAATATCTGCAGAGCATAGATCGCCTTTCACAGGGACTGTAGCGGGTAACAGAAGTGAGGCTTACACTTTGGGGATGGGGCTAGATAGAGGTGGGTAGAAAAGATAAATAACATTCTGTTCACCTGACTGAGTAAAGTATGATAAATGTAGAAACAGTATCCAGAGCAAGTACTCAATGGATTGAAAGGGAGAAGGGCTTACTTATAGGAAAGGACTGGAAGTTTTCTCACCGAGTTGCAGTTCA